GTCCAGGTAATGGTTGTGACCTGGATGAGAAGGCGCAGCAAAAAAATTTTGCTGTTCTTCCTTATATTCATGGTTTTACCCACCGCCTGAAAAAGGTTGCATCAAGATATGATGTCCAAGTGGTTATTTCTGCCAGGAACAAGTTATCCACTTTATGTGCCAAAGTAGATAGACGAGTCGCGAATCAGCGAAATGTCCAGCAACACACATGCAATGTTAGTCATATTCATAATTATGTATCTTGCATCACCGGTGTTGTCTACTCCATACCCTTGTCATGCGGTCGTGTGTACGTGGGACAAACAGGTCGCTGTCTAAATGTTAGACTTCGAGAACATTTTAATTCTTTAAAAGGCCACTCCGGCCTTCATCTGGCAGCCCACTGTAAGAAATGCGGCTGCGCTCCGCTGTTCGGTGATACTTCTGTGTTGTTCCGGCATAAGAACCAAAGAGTGCGCGAACTTATTGAGGCTGCGCATATTCACAAGAAATCTGTGTCTTGTGTTAGTGTTCCCTCTGTGGCCATACATGATAAGGAGTTAAGCTATCTTGGTTTTGTATGACGGGTGTGCTATGCTTGATGTGCCTAAGTTTGGTGATTTGGTCCCTCGTGTTTTTTCTCCTCCCCCTCTGCCCCCTCTTGCTTTTTTCTGCCTATTATATATATTGCCTCGTTCTTGCAATAAAGCGTCAGTTGATAGTCTGCGCTTGTCTGTCCTTTTTCTCTCCTTCTTGTTTCCGTCAGTTTTTTGCGCAGTTACATACCTTATGGATCAGTACCAACTAGCCCAACTTACCATTCTTCTTTTATCTTGTCCAGGGGTGACGTAAGAATGGTGGGCGCAGAAATCGGGGTCGATAATGGCTTCTATCTGGAAGCTACAGCAGGCAGTCGGCGTTCTTCAGTCTGGCTGATTTCCTGACGGGCAGAATCTGCAAAAGCAGAAGGTAACAATCACTGAAGATCCAGACGTCTTTCTTGTTGCCACCACCGCTGAGCAAATGCAGGAGAGCATTAAGATAATCCTCAGTGAATCGCTCTTGAATAGGTGAACACTACCTATCCGGCTTTATGACCGAATATAGCCAGATTCAATCAACTCGGTTTTGCCCAGAATAAGCTAATTTAGAGACCCACCGCAGAAGCCTCTCTCACAAATATAAGTATTGTTATGTGTTGAGTATGAAGCGTAACGTTTGATCAAAGTTCAATTTATTGCCGGCGTGGTCCGACTCACCAATAAACATAACAGTGGTAGGAGTGAATGAAGCTCTTTAACCTGGCGGCTAAAATTGCAGTACGACCATCAGCAAAAGTGTTGAAATAACGTTACATAACCATTCGCATAGCTTTGCTCATCACTGCAGCAACTCCAGAAAAGGCTGCGGCTTCAAGGGACCCACTTTCACAAGATCTAGTCGCGGTATCCTACATCATGCTCTCAGAATAAAGAGCGGGAGGCCCGGGAACAAAAGCGTTTGTACACAATATCAAGGAATAATGTCTCACGATAACGAGCAGGACAGTTACAGTGTGGGATCCATCACATAAGCAACACTTTCAACGTTCTACCTTACAGTATGAAGCAAAATTTGATTTACTGTTTCTAGGGCATCTCATTAAGGACCTGTAAACATTAGCGCAAGGTCTCAAGCGCCACAGCTACGGCACTGCAGTGGTCTATGCATCAGTGCCTCTACACAGAATAAGTAGGGGCAGGCCTCAGGGAGGCTTGTTAGGCCCACAAAAGTGACAATGTTTTTAGTTCGATTTCCGGAGCCCTTCACTACGGCGTCTCTTATAATCATATGGCAGTTTTGGAAGGGTAAACTCTACATATCAGTCATAAAATCAACGTTTTCAGTTGGGAATCACGCACCACCTACAAGCCTGGTGCGCCTGTGCGCTGAAACCACGCCAGGAGGCGAGGCAATCTTCAACGAGGCCTTGGGACTGAGATTAGTGGGTGCGCCATTGGCTGTGCCCTTTACGCAAGCGAGATAGGATGGTACAAAAGCACGAACTGTAATGTACGCTAATGTCGTGTAAACTAGAAAATCATTCAAGCATTGAAGATTCGATATACTTAAATTGTATACTTGTCTTGCTGAAGTGCCTCACCTCCCAATGTCGAAACTTCTGCGCATACACACTGATGTCAAAGGAAAAAAACTATATTATTGACAAAATGAGAGAAAAAAAAGGAGGTTCGCAACGTATGTGATCACAATCTTTATTGGAGTCCGCCATCTCTGCTCATGTTGCCGACAACCAGCATGACCTTGCAGCATGCCACGTCATTAATTTCTGTAGCAACGTTCGACCTTCTAATAGACACCACTGAAGATTTGTCAACGTTCTGAAGCCTACACAAATCCTGGGCCTTGCACCGGACTTGAACGCTGCTCTTTTCAGCGGCTTGTTGATGCAAGATACACCCACAACTTCCCCACGTCAATCATCACCGAGAGCTGGGGAGTTGGATTGATGGTTGCAGCTTTTAGGAACTTCGATGGTCAACTATAACTTGTTGGGCCCTCATTCACCGCGATGTGGCCAGCATGGTTTGTTTTCTGAAATTTCTCTCGTTGAGCACTCGTACTTTCCACAGTTATAGCACTTTTGATCTGTTTGATCACAATAGGGAGGCTTTGAAGTTTTCCGCAGTGGTCCCCGACTTGCTTTATATGTGCCGTATGCTCTTGTAATCGCTTGCTCGGCTGGATGCGTGGAAATCTGAGATTTTTAGCGAGAGGGCTTTGCATGAAGTGCCGTGTCGTAGAACCTGGGTCATAAAGGTCTTGTTTGCCCCTGAATATTCCTCCATTTCAACTGCGCTTAATCGCTCTGGTCTTCCAAAGTGTGCCAGCAGTTTGTCCTCGTCCTCATGCTCCTTCACAGTCACCTAGATGCCGTTGTTTCTAAACCGTAGCCTCACCATCACTTGCTCATTTGTACACTGCATACCAAGGCCCAATCGCTTGCATACCGTGATGGGCTCTCTCTTCATGGGGCTCTACCCTGCAGTTGCTTCGAAGTTTTGGCAAGTGTTATATTGGAGGCTAAGTTCTCCAACGTACTTAGGTCATCGACACGAGCCTGAAGGCAAAATCAAAAAGGTCCCGTCATGTGAAGCCTGTCGTTTTCTAGCTGGTGATTCTGTTTCACGTCTCTCGGCTTCGAAGCCTTCTGTCAATAAATTGGTGTGGCTCGCACACTGAACTCGGCATACCATTGCAAGGGTAACGGCCACGTGGAGCGTGTGCATCAACCATTGGTACCGTGTATATAGCCAAAATCAACTATCAAGGACCCAACTTACAAAAACTGGGAGCCGAACATCAAGAAGGTAACTGCTTGCGCCATGCCGGAGTACACACTCCGTAAGGCGGCTCGCTAACCAGGACGAGCCCTGCGCAGGTCCAAATGGAGATGGGAGACCCTTCAAATAACACCATAAGAAAAATTTGAAGTAGGAAAAACTAGAAAGCTGCACTGTGGCCAATTGATTCCCTTTCAGAATACTGCATGGGCAGACCCTGGTCACCGAAACTTGCTCGTTGAGCTCAGTTGCCACTCAAAGAAGAATGAACTTCTTCACTAGTCTACGCAGGCTGACAATATTGACATTCATAAAGGCACTCGCCCAACAATCAACGTTGTTGACAGACACACACCCTCATAACTATGGTATGAGGGTACGTGCCTCAAGGATAAGATTTCTTGACGTACGCGGCAGGTTTTTTCAGTTATTCATTTAAAGACCTGGCATGCACTTTTGCCTCACCATGTAATTTTGTATATGTCAAGTGATTTTCGGTAGATATCAGCGACAATGAGCTGGCGGAGTTCTACTCCCTCTCAGTTACCTTTCATCGCCCCTGCCTACACATGCTTTATACATACCTCTCTTTTCTTCGCCCCCCCCCCCGGAGTGGTCTAGTAGCTAAAGTACTCGGCTGCTGACCCGCAGGTCACGGGATCGAATCCCGGCTGCGGCGGGTGCATTTCCGATGGAGGCAGAAACGCTGTAGGTCCGTGTACTCAGATTTGGGGGCGCGTTAAAGAACCCCAGGTGGTCGAAGTTTCCGGAGCCCCCCACTACAGCGTCTCTCATAATCATATGGTGGTTTGGGGACGTTAAACCCCACATATTAATCAAATTATTTCTTTGCCTCTATTTCTCAAATAGTTGTCTCCCTTTCGTCGTATTTTTCTCACTCCATTTCTCTTTCTATCTTTCCGTCTTTCTTTCTCGTCTAGAGCAACGCCGGATTCATATGGTTTTGTTTTATGCGACGCGAGGCATACTTGTGCCGAGGGGTTGTAAGGCAAACAGCACTGACGTGATAGCCAGGCGAGCTTTCTGTTCTACGCGATATGAATAAATAATATGTTTAAGCTTCTTGCCTGTTATAAACATTAAACTACAAGGAATGACCATTTTTCACCAGGTATTAGCCATCGGTACGATCCGGTAGCGAGCTGAGCGAATATGAGACATTTCATTGCTACTAAAAGCACAAACAATAAAAGTTGAATAAAGAGCGGAGGTCGTAGGAATGTGGACGTCTGTACTCTAAGGCATCGGGAGTTATAAATATCGTGAAGGATGTTCTGTTGAAAGAAGTACAGTACGCTGCAAGTTGCTGATAGCTGTCTTAAGAGGGCAAAACTCTTTTGCGGTAACTGAATCCAAACGAATGGCTTGCTGTCTCAATCCGTAACAACTTTGACAACTTCATAATTAGGCGCCATGCAGTGTGTTGACGTAAAACATTTGTAGCCCAAATCCATAGCGTACAAGGAAATTCTGAGCCGTGGTCGACATACCCATGAGCCAAACATGGACAGCAACATGCGTGCAACAAGGGTGTTCATAATTATGTCCCTCGTTTTCCATTTCAATATTACGTAACAATTCGATAAAAAAACGCATTGTTATTTGTTGCAATAAAAGTCGCCACTTAAGCATCAACTATTCTGATCTGTTTTTCAGGTTTCCCAGTGGAAGCGGGGAGGCGAGATTACGTGTATTTTCGACATACCGCTATCAAATCTCTTCCGACAGAGCATCTTCAAGCGAAATTTGTGCAAAGGAGAGAAAGCAGAGTAGAGGCGTATTCATGTTTTCGAAAATTCAGATAATGCAACAGACCAACATGCAAAAACTTCCAGATACCACGTTTGAGATGAATTAGCATTGAAACATTTCAGAGTGTACAGATAATTATGGTAGAAAGCCCTGCCAACACGTCATGATGAATGCACGTCGAATAAAAGATGTTCTTTGATATTACCGGACAAGCTGGCACACGTTACCGGGCAGTATCGCACAAGGGGTTGCACTTAACGTTATGCTTTACTGCTGTTAGGAAATCAAGTTAAAAATGATTACGTCTGTAAAATTTATCGGGAACGTTAGTAGAAGCTTCCGCGGTATTGGTTATGCCGAGCGAGGAAGACGCCCACGTAAGGTGCACCGTCAGTGACTGCAGGCGGTCGCCTACTAGACGCCTCATTGCCTGTATTCTACGACTCGTTGCTTTTTTGAAGTTACTACCGCTCCATGCACCACGCCGCAACCGCGAGACCTCCTCGTCTCGTCCTTTCCGTTTTGCGCCTGCTTGTGATCACGACGATTGATCTCCCGGGCTCATCAAAATGCGCGTGGGTATCGACCTTTGCCTGCGTTTTGTAGCGGTAGAGGTTACATGGACGCCCTCAGTGGGTTTTAGCCATCATTTTCTCTATAATGCTCTGTATAAACTACAAATCGATAACGTCCGACAATGCAACATATGTTGTTAGCGACAGCAAAAGCGCGAAAGCACTGGGGATGACCATGGGTGAAAGAGTTGAAAAGAGCGGACAGTCTCCGTCGCACGAATGACACATGAAATAACGTCATCCTGCATGTGAGGCATGGCTTTGATGGCTCTTCAAGCGTAGGCAACAACCCGACTATCTTTCGTCGGGCGCAGGAGCACGAAGGGGCGCATCAGGAAGGAGGGCGGCTGAGTCACTCGAGCTCCAACTGCGAACATGCATCACGAGGGCACGTGCGCTGGTGTGCGCGCTATCTCTATATTTATGAATAGACGGCTCGTAAACGTGGTGTTCCCATAACATTGTGTTGAGAAGGCAAACAGCACGGAAACCGCTTCGCTCCCTGATGCAGCCGCATTCGTTTAAACTAATTTTTTCTAGAGTTATGCACGATCGGATTCAAAATATTTGGCTGCTAGCCTTACTTCATCTACGAATCAAATCTATTGATTTCGCATTCATTGCATCGCCCTTGTGGCGACACTGTGATGTTTATCTTTAATGTCAGTGTCATTTATCGCCGCACCGCGCTGCTACGACGTAGCGAACGTTGAATGGTGCATATTATGTGCTATCGTTGTGCCATCTTATTTACCACAGGATTGATATAAGAAGCCTGAATATGGCTACGAAGTTTTTATCACAGCACTAGGGAAGCGTCACGGCTGGTACAAAAGACAGCAGCTTCACAACAGTGACAAAGATATGCTATTTGAGAGAAAAAAAGAGGTACTTATGGTTGATCGTAGTGAAGCATCACTTTATTCTTCAATTAGGGTATACTAGCATTGTATTCACTGTTTTAGTTGCAGCCAAACTAAGGTTTCATAAAAATCTGCTGATCCGCAGGTCGCCGAATCGAATCCCATAGCGGCTGCATTTTTGATGGAGGCGAGAATGTAGGCTCATGCGCTCAGATTTGGGTGCATGTTAAAAAATCTCAGGTGGTCGTAATTTCCGGAGCCCTCCACTGCGGCGTCTCTCATAATCATATGGTGGTTTTGGATTCATAACCCCACGTATTTATTGATCTAAGGTTACAAGAAACGTGAGTTTTCATAAGTATGCCGAATATTTTCATGAAACTCTATAAGCCACTTATACAGCCGTGAACTGTTCTTGATACAAAACTATTGCGTGCGAAAATACATTAATTCCATTCCCCCTTTCGTGGACTAATTCCATTCCCCCCGTTTGCTGCTTGCTTTTCTGAAAATCAGTACAGCGGCTTGTAAAGTATTATTTCTAGAATTTATTGATGAGTCTGTCAGTCATTTACGTTTAATCAAAGAAGACCGTAAATTAGGTGATGACAAGTATACTACAATGTCATGATACATAGTGCATACTCTAATAGAGCACTCTTCTCAGTGACGTGCACTTTGTTAGACAATGTTTGCAAGTGCATGAAAATAAAACCCAACTACCGCTTCGTTGCCACATAATACAGTTAACGCTCATTGAATTAGAACTAGGTTAAATCGATTTTACAGTCTATTCAAACTGACACTCTGGTTTTCGTAAAGCACTGTGTATTTTATAAGGCGAAAACTCGCAGTCTTACGAAAGCGTCGGTATTTACAACGATTAATTCAAACCGAGAGCTCCTGGTTTTCATTGTTCCTAATGGAAGTCGGCCCAAAGTGATCCCGATGTTTTGCAGAACCAACGCGTTGTTTGGAAAGCATGAACTTACTTTCACTGCATTTCCAGGCAGAGGAAGCTATATTCACTGTATCACAAGCAGACGTGTGGCTGTGTAGTGGAACACCAGCTTGCGATCGGGATTCCATCCATACTCTGACCAAGGGTGTTCACAATTTTTATTTTATTCTGATTTTCTGGGTTTTCGGTCACGCACAAGACGATGCTTTTTCGCCCACGACCAACGACGCTGATGCCGAAATTGCTGCGAAACGAGCTGTTTACTGCTATCGCGTCCATAATGAGACATCAGCATTTTTCGGAAGACGAAAATTCAGGCCTACCGCTAAAGCTCTTGGGCAAGCTGCAAATGATGCTCATGAAATCATGACAAAAGAAGCGCTAGCTAATGCTAATTACTGATTACTAATTTTTCAATAGCGTTTTATTTTTTTCTATATAAATAAGTGTGTTTGAAGCATTATTAGCACAATGTATTTCCGATTATTGTGCACAGCTCACGTTAATGCATGTCAGTGCTAGTTCCTGGCATTTCAATGACTGATCATTTAATTGTGTTCGTTCATAGAACTCCATGAAGTAAATGTGCGAAATCACTTGTGTGAGATGTTAGTGTGGGCCCAGGCGCTCAACCGACAAGAGATAGAGCGTAGACAAAGACGTTCGTACAACATGAACATCAACACATAATTAGGCTACAATGCATACACGAACTGAGAATACCAGCCAGTACAAATGGATGTACAGCGTACTAGGCGAGCAACCACTAATTCAGCAGGGCGGCCTCCCCTCGGCTGGTCACCTTCAGAGAGGGCGCGCGCTCCGCGCGGGAGCCATCAATGAACAGTCCCTTGCTTGCTAGCGCTTGCTATTGAGCGTGCAGTCTAGAACATGGTGTCAGAAGTGTAACAAGCGAACCCGCCACTGAAGGTAGATGGTGTACCACCACGCGAGCCACTTGTTCTAACAAATGTTTCGGCCGTCAACTGGAAATGTTCTTCCAAAACTAATTGAACTATGCTTCAAAGTACGTAGGAAGAAATATGTTTCTTCCTTCGTGCTTCAAAGCTACCGAGATTAATAACGAACGGACGCCAGCACAGAAGGCTGCCATTTTTCCTCACGTCACGAGCTCAAAGGTCATTGAAGCGCTTAACATATTACCCCAATTAGCACAACAACGAGAGCACTATGACTTGACTCCATCGTTAAAGCTTTACAAGACCACTCGCACGCCTCGGTGCAGCGAGACATTGGAGAGGTACTTTGTGCGCCGACGACAAAAACAGGGGGGTGAACTATTCGAACAGTTTTTAAATGATATACAGTGGAAAGCGCGGGCTTGTAATTACGGCCAAATAAGGGACTCGATGGTGAGACACCAGATAGTGTGTGGCATCGTCGACAAAAAGCTATGTGCACGTCTGCTGCAGGAGAAGAACTTGACTCTAGAATAAGCTGTAGGATTTCGCAAAGCCGCGAAAGTGGAGCAACGCGAAACCATGCTCTTGAAAGCGGAGCAAAGCTGCAGAAAGTCTAAATAATTACAAATGCTACTGGGTCAGTCTTGCGTGAGCGGACAACGTCGGCGTCGCGGCTGCTGTGGCAGGACCCTCGAGTCTGGACGCTGCCAAGCGCTTGGGAAAACGTGTACGTTGTTCAAGCAGAAAAACGATTTTTGTTCTTGCTACAGGAGCAGACGTGGAATTCATGAGTTAGGTGACGCTACAACAGAAGACGCACTAGATAGGTCCTCGGACGCTACGGATGAAGACATTCATATTTTCGCAGTGCAAATCGAAAATGTTTCCAGAAGTCCAGATTGGAATGTAGTAGGCGACATTGTCGAGCCCCCGAGGGAACTACAAGTGAATAAAGACACGCAAGACAACATTTCGCCGTACTCGTACGGTCGCGAGGATGCGCGTTTGCCGAACATAGTGCTTACTATAAAAAAAAATCAAAATACATCACTTGGGCGTTATCATTCGCCCGCTAAGTCTAGGTGCGCCGCAAAAAAAAATGATTTTTTTTGTGGTCAAGAGAGGCAAGCAAATTCTGCTCGGATTGAATGCAGCTGAGTGTTTCAAACTGATTTCCCGTGTTCACGATGTGTCTTCAAGAAGTAGCGCTAGCACCGACTGGGTCATCAAGTTCCCGAAGCTATTCCACGGTCTAGTCTGCATCAGGAGATCATACTCGCTTGCAATGAAAGACAACGCTCACCCCAGTATCATACCACAAAGGAAATTACCACACGCACTGCGAGCTCCACTTAAGCAGGAGCTGGCCTGGATGATTTCGCAGGGTGCATCTTATGCAAGATGGAACAGCCAACAGATTGAGCGAGCCTCCTTGTGATTATTATCAAGAAGGATGGCTGCCTGGACGCGGGGTACATAAATCGAAGCCTTAGACGCGAGCATTATCAGCTACCGTCACGTGAACAAATAGAGGCAAACCTGGCAGCAGCGGCATTGTTCAGGAATCTTGATGCTAATAGCGGGTTTCACCCAATACCTATAGATAAATTCACTTCGAAGATCTGCACTCTCAGTACGCCATTCGGAACATACAAATTTTCACGCCTTTCATGGGGTATCACGTCAGCGCCTGAACTATCTCTCAAGGCAATGTCAGAAGTGTTGGAAGGCCTGCCAACCGTATATTTGGACGATATTTTCATTTGGAATGCATCAAAAGACCAGCATCCTGCGCGCGGCACTGACGGAGGTATAAGAAATACTTTGAAGAAAAAAAGTGCCTGTTCACGAAGGCCTTAAGTTAAATTTCAGGAAAAACCCCATCTG